TTAGACTTAAATGTGGAATGGTGTCCAGATTGATCCTCCAAGCATTTTCCTTGGTGGGTTTCTTTTCTTTTCTTTTTCCTTTTTTTTTTTTTTTTTTCTTTTTTGGGTTTTCAGGTCTGCAATGGAGCTACATATGTCAATATGGACATGCTTAGAAGTGACAAAGTAGGGGGCAAAATGTTGCTGATTGAAGGTACTCCAACTAAATTTGGATATTTTTATTTTTCATGCTTATTTATCTTTCCAAAGTAGGGAGGGAGCTTTGAGAAGCCTGGACTTCACAATAATCATTTCCTTTTTGGATGAAAAAACAACAGTCCAATTAAATCTGTCTAGGATTTAATATTGGGTATTAGACTCAATTTAGTTTGGGTTGGGCTCACATGATGAAGTAAAAGTACAGCTATTGTTAGTCTATTTTGATTTTATGTTACAACAACTTTCATTCTTTCAAATGTTGTTTTTCTTTTAAATATATATATATATATATTTCTCTGGTTTCTAAGGAATTCTTTCAGAATTCAAAGGTGCCATTTCTTTCATTTCATCATAATTTAATTTAGTGCTTACTTTATTGCGCTGCAGATGATGGTGGAGGGATGGATCCTGATAAAATGCGTCAGTGCATGTCTCTTGGATACTCTGCAAAAAGCAAAGTAGCAAACACCATTGGACAATGTAATATCCTACTCCTGTTCAGATGGATATATTATAATTGATACTTCTCTGCTGTAAAGAGTTATATTATTTCTTTATGTTCATTTGCTGTTTATGTCAGATGGAAATGGATTCAAGACAAGCACAATGAGGCTTGGGGCAGATGTTATTGTATTCTCACGTTGCTGTGGAATAGATGGAAAGAGGTTGGCACTCTTTTATTTTATTGCTTAGATTGCTCTTGTCAGTTGTTCTATTTTAAGCACAAATGGTTGCTGCCTGGTGATGCTAGTTTTAAACTGCTAAAATTACTAGTCTTTAAATTGTTTCAGAAAGTTTAATGAGAAAATATGTATTTAGATGCTACTTATTAGCCTGACCCTGAGCTTATGGATGATTGTTGACTTAGGGTTTGAAGAAATGGTTCTGAATGCAACAATGGTCCTTGTTTCTTGAATGTTGAGGAGTAAAATATGAACGCCCTCATTTGTTTTTTCCATGATAACATAAAGGTCTCCCATTTTCCTCCTGATTTAGAATTTTTTATCTCATTAAGTAGTAGAGTGAGTAATAATCAGAGGCCCTGATTTGTGTTTTCCATATATCTTGACGTTAGGGAAGTATTATGTGATTCATCTAAGTAGTGGTAAGAGGTTGATTGCTAAACAATTAAATTAGTGTCTTGTAAGAAACTAACTTGGCTTTTCTATGAATGGAAGGCCAATTTCTTTATTTGAGAGGTGCCTTATTTACCTATTAAAGCTGTTAGACTTAAATGTGGAATGGTGTCCAGATTGATCCTCCAAGCATTTTCCTTGGTGGGTTTCTTTTCGTTTCTTTTTCCTTTTTTTTTTTTTTTTTTT